GGCCTTTTGCCAGCCCTCGATGCTGCTCTCTACTGGGGGCAGGTGGCTACTTCGTCCAGCTGACTCAGGAATGTAATGCTCTGTGAGCGTGTCCAGGTGTCTGTTGGCTTGTCAATATCTGTTGAAGTGCCAATAGCATGAACGCACAATAAACAAGGGATGCCTGTACTAGTTTCCTGTCATCTCCCTAATCCACAAGATTGCCCTTTGAAACCTTCCCTACACACAGCCCTCAAACTTTAAGGACACTGGGGGCATTTTTCCAGCTCTCCCGGACTTGCTGTTTCTTTGAAGATTAAGTTAATATTGCACAATCCATTTCTGAAAGCTCGAGCACATGGTTCTTTCTGCTCTCAAGGGAGCTCCTTATTCCATAATCTAGTTCCAGAGTGTCCCTTGCATCCAGGATGCAGCCTACAGGAGGCCCAAGGATCCAGCTACAGACGGCCCCAGGGAAAAGCGGGGGATGTGAGATGCTATTCCTGTTGGGATACATGGTAGAAAGAAGCTTCCCTGCAGCCGTCAGGTCGTGGTCCTGGAAAGGTTTGCAATAAGAAGATATTGCCAGATTGGTGCATACCCAAAGAGAGGTGACATTGGGAACAAGATGGTGAGCAACCGTTCAGTGTGATGGAATGAAGGCGGTGGGAACCTCTCTACAGGACGAGCACCAGAGCAATCTAGTAGGGCCCTGGGAATGGGCTTCTTATTTTGTCCCAAAGGATGTGTCTTTGTAGCCTTGGCCCTTGGGGAGCAAATACTGATTACAGTTTCTTGGACAATGTGATTTCACAAGTACGATATCCTTCCTACCATCTCCATCATGCTCAGACATTGTAATTGGAGATTTATTTTCTTTTTTTTTCTTCCCACTGTTTTTTTATCTATATCTTTCAAGTATTTTAATCTTACAGTTAATATGTCCGATGCCGGATCTATCAAGGTGATAATCTTTATTTGCCATAAACTTTCTGCCTTCACAAAATAAGGCTATGTCCCCCCAGTCCAACACTGAATTCTGATCTTACTCCATCTCTTTCCTTCTTTCCTTCCTTCTTTCTTCTTTCCTTCCTTCTTTTCTCTCTCTCTCTCTCTCTCTCTCCTCCCTCCCCTCCGCCTCCTCCTCGTTCTGCTCTCTCTTCCATCTCTTCTCTCTTTCTCATCTTTCTCTTCTTCTTCGAGAATGGAGTCTCGCTCTGTCCGCCCAGCGCTGGAGTGCAGTTGGCCGGATCTCAGCTCACTGCAATGCTCTGCCTCCTGGGTTCACGCCATTCTCCTGCCTCGGCCTCAGGGTGGGTGTAGTTGGTACCACACTTAGAAGCCAGGGTGGGAGGATTCCTTGAAACCTGGGGGGTTGCGGCTGCTGTGAGCTGTGAACGCCCAACAGGTGGACTCATGCTACCTGCACTCAGCCTTGGCAAACAGAGTAAGACCTGTTCTCCAGGAAAAAAAAAAAGAAAAGCAAAGATAGAGAAAAAAGTGTGGGGGGCATTTTATTCATAGACCTATTGGCTTTTGTATGTTCTTTGGCCATTTTTAAAGTGAGATAATTTGGTTCTTTTATTGTTTGCGTTTGCTTTGATTTCCTGTATATAGTCTGGCATATTGTCCCCATCAGATAACTAATTTTTAATTATTTTCTCTATTCAAGCATTGGCTGCGGCACGGTGGCTCACGCCTGTAATTCCCAGCACTTTGGAGTTTGG